GACAAACAAGGTCATTATATAATAGTAAAGAAGTTAATAGAACAGAAGAATGTAACAAGAATAAATATATTAATTTATGCTTGTTACCTAAATATATTAATGTTTGATCTTTGTCTTTTTTAAGTTTCATTAAAAGTAATGGCAAAAACTGAAATTACTTTCACACCAACCTAATATAAAGCAAACATTAATAGACCAAAAGGGAAATGAATACAGCAATGAAATAATAGTAGAAGACTTTCACCAATGGACAGATCATCAACAGAGAAACATTGGATTTAAACTGCACTGTAGACCAAATGAAGCAAACAGATATTTACAAAACATTTACACAATTCCCAGTCTTCTCAACTGCACATGGAACAGTCTCCAGGAGATCATACCTTAGGCCACAAAGCAAGTCTTAACTAACTTTTTTAAATGAAGTATTTTTTTCTGCCAATAATGGAATAAAACTATCCAACAACAGCAGAAGGAACTTCAGAAACTGTACAAATACATGAAAAGTAAAGAACATGCCCCTAAACCAACAATGGGTAAATGAAGAAATTAAAAGAGAAATTAAAAAATTTCTTGAGACAAATGAAAATGAAAACATAACATAACAAAACTTATGGGATACAGCAAAGATAATCCTCAAAGAAAAGTTTATAGCAATAAATGCCTACATCAAAAAAGAAACATCTCAAATAAACAACATAATGATGCATCTCATGAAACTAGAAAAGCAAGAACAAACAAAACCCCAAATTATTAGAAGAAACAAATGAATACAGATAAGAGCACAAATAATCAAAATAGAGACCAAAAAATACAAAAGAACAGTTAGTTATTTGACAAGATAAAGTCAATAAACTTTTAGCCAGACTAAGTAATAATAAAGAGGAAAAACAGAAATAAATCAGAGGTGAAAAAGGAGACATGACAACTGATAACACAGAAATACAAAGAATTATAAGAAACTGTTGTGAACAATTATATGCCAACAAATTGAAAATCCTAGAAGAAATGGATAAATTCCTGGACACATACAACCTATGAAGGTTGAATCAAGAAAAAATTGAAAATTTGAAGAAATCGACAATGAGTAACAAGATTGAAGCAAAAATAAAGTGTCCCATCAAAGAAAAGTTCAGGACCTGATGGCTTCACTGCTGAATTCTACCAAACATTTAAAGAACTAGTAACAATTCTTCACAAACTATTCCAAAAATTTAAAAGGAAGAAACTCTTCCAAAATTATTCTAGGAGGCTTCATTATCCTGATTCCAAAACCAGACAAGGGCACAATAACAACAAACAACTACAGGCCAATATCCTCAAGAAAATACTAGAAATAGAATTCAACAGCACATTAAAAAGATCATTTACCATGATCAGATGGGATTTATCCCAGTGATGCAAGGATGATTTAACATATGCAAATTAGGAATGTGATACAGCACCTTAACAAAATGAAGCACAGAAATTATATGATCATTTAAATAGACACAGTAAAAGCATTTGATTAAATTCAACATCCCTTCAAGATAAAAACTCTCAACAAACTTAGTATAGAAGGAACATACCTCAACATTGCAAAAGCCTTGTATGATAAACCTGCAAACAAGATGATACTGAGTAGGGAAAAATTGAAAGCTTTTTCTTTAAGAACTGGAATAAGACAGGGCTACCCACTCTCACCCCTTCTATTTGACACAGTACTGGAAGTCCTAGCAAGAGCAATTAGGTAAGACAGAAAAAAACCGCACCCAAATTGGAAAGAAGGAAGGCAAATTGTCCCTGTTTGACCGGGCTTGGTGGCTCATGCTTGTAACCCCAGCACTTTGGGAGGCCTTGAGGTCAGTAGTTTGTGACCAACCTGGCCAACATGGTGAAACCACATTTCTACTAAAAATACAAACTTAGCTAGGTGTGGTGGCACACCTATAGTCCCAGCCACTCAGGAGGCTGCGGCAGGAGAATCACTTGAACCCAGGAGGCAGAGGTTGCAGTGAGCCGAGATCATGCCATTGCATTCCAGCCTGGGCAAAAGAACGAGAGACTCTGTCTCAAAAAAAAAAAAAAAAAGAAAAGAAAAGAAAGAAAATATTATCAAAATGGATTAAGGAATTAAATGTAAGACCTGAAACTGAAACTACTAGAAGAAAACATAGTATAAACATTTCATAACATCAATTTGGGCAAGAATTTGTTAGCCAAGACCTCAAAATCATGAGTAACAAAAGCAAAAATAAAGAAATTGGATTACATCAAACTGGAAAGCTTCTGCACAGCAAAGGAAACAATCAACAGAGTTAAGAGACAACCTACAGAATGGGAGAAAATTTTTACAGATTATACATCTGACAAGGGATTAATATCTGGAATATATAAGGAATTCAAACAACTCAATAGCAAAATTCAAATAATCCTATTAAAAATTAGCAAAAGACTTGAATAGACATTTCTCCAAAGAAGACACACAAATGGCCAACAGATATATGAAAAATGTTCAACATCACTAATCATCAGGAAAATTAAAATCAAAACCACAGTGAGGTATCACTTATCCCTATTAGAATGGCTATTATAAAAAAGACTACAAAATAACAAATGCTGGCAAGGATGTGGAGAAAGAGAAACTCCTCTACACTGTTGGTGGAAATATAAATTAGTTAAGCCATTAGAGATAATAGTATAGAGATGCCTCAAAAATTAAAAACAGATCTATCATATGTTCTAGCAATCCCACTACTGGATATATACCAAAAAGAAATGAAATGAGTGTCGAAGAAACATCTGTATCTACATGTTTATGACAGCATTATTCACAATAGTCAAGATATAAAATCAACTTAAATGTCCATCAATGGATGAATGGATAAAGAAAATGTGCCATATATACACAATGGAATACTATTTGTCCATTTAAAAAAGAAATCCTGTCATTTGCAACAACATGGATGAAGCTGGAGGACATTATGTTAAGTGAAACAAGCCAGACAAAGACAACATTGCATGATCTCACTCCTATGTACAGTCTTTAAAAATTGGTCTCACAGTAGTTGAGATTAGTGATTCTAGGGAGATTAGGGGGAAGCGTGAGATGGAGACAAGTTAGTCAGTGGATACAATGTTGCAGGTAGGTAGAAGGAATAAGCTCTGGTACTCTATTGCACAGCAGGATGACAATAGACAACAATAATATATTGCATATTTCAAATAGAAGAGAGGATTTTGAATGTTCTCACAATAAAGAAATGACAAACATTTAAGGTGATGGATATGATAATTACCCTGATTTGAATAACTACACAATGTATACATGTATTGAAACATCACATTGTACCCATAAATATATACAATTATGTGTCAATAAAAAGTAATACAGTTAAAAAAATATAATTTCCCATTGAGATAAATAAAAAGACCCCCACACAAAATTATCATTGTGGCATTTTAGAACACAAAGAGAAGATACTTAAAGTTTCTTCTGGGAGAAACAGGTCACATACAAAAAAATGGGAATTAGATTGGCAATATAATGGAGCAATATTGTAAAAGATCTAAGGGAAAAATTATTTTGAACCTAGAATTGTTAGTCAAGCTATGAATCAACTTTGGGGGAAGAAAAAAGACATTTTCAGTTATAGAGGGCCTTAATAGCCACTGAATGTGTGCTATTGTAAAACCAGTGACTATATAAAAGAGGAATTTGGAAGATTCAGCAACCCCAGAGAATAATGAAGTATGAGAAGGATGTTTTCTCCTTAATTCTTTTCTGTATTTTCCAATAATTTGATAATAAACATGTATAATTTTAGAATTAAAAAATTAATTAATTTTGAAAACATGCAAGTTCCTGTTCTCACATAGAGTGGAGTGACAGACTGTAGTCCAACATAGTAATACATACAAAATTACGAACGGAACATTACTCTGAAGGGAAATTATATCATTCCATGTAAACCTATAATAAAAGAATGTGACCTAGACTGGGAAATCAGAGAAGGCTTCCCTAAGGAAGTACCCCTTGAACTTAGCTTTGAAAGTGGGGAAATGAGGCAATGTGAGATGAAGTTGTAGCAGTATTAGGAATCAAACCTATTGGGGCCTTGTAGTCCTTAGTAGAGAGTCTGGACTTTATTCTATGTGGAATGAGAGCCACCAATGGGTTTTAGGCTGGTGGATACTACAGTCAGATCTGAAATGCAAAAAATATTACACCAGTTTCTTTGTGGGTAAGAGTCTTGGAGGGGAATATGACTAGCTATGGGAAGACCTATAAAAAAACTTTATCAGTAGCTCAGAGAAGAGATACTGGTAACTTGGATCAAGATGACAGTAGTACTAATAGTGAAAAAATAGATATATTTGAAAGCTCTTAGCCAAAATAGGAAGCAGCTGTGCCCTCATAGTTACCAGTGTGAGATCTTAAAACATGACTGCTTGGGTTCAAATATTGAGCAAATTAATTAACCTCTCTGGGCATCCATTTCCTCTCCTGCAAGACATGGATGATAATAGTTTCTACATTCATAGGGTTGTTATGAGGAATGAATGAATTAAAACTTGTAAAATACTTCGGACAGTGCTTGACGTAAAGCAAGTGCTCAATAAATATTAGCTATTACTGATTATATTGCCCTGGTCAATGGAAAAGAATGAAGCGATAAAAATTGTAAATTTGATTCTGAACATGTGAGTTTTATGAGATATCTAGGTGGAGATGTTGAGAAAGTGATTGGCTATATGAATCTGGACTTCCAGAAGAGGTCAGGAGAGGAGAGAGAAGAAGAAGCAGTCTGAGAAGTAGGAGAAAAAAACCCAGGTGCAAATAAAGACTGAAAAATATACATTGGATTTAGCAGCATGATGGTGATTCTTGATAGATTTGTTTACAAGTCAAGGTAGCAATAAAATGCCTACGATTGATTTGTCCTTTGTACCTTAGAAAGTCTTTTTCCATTTCAAATTCTGTACTTCTTAGCCATAGGTGTCTTATTCCTACTTTACAGGTCTGATTGGATGCCACAGGAAATCAGTGTATTGGCATGTGATTGGAATGGGCACCACTCCTGAAGTACACTCAATATTCCTCGAAGGTCACACATTTCTTGTGAGGAACCATCGCCAGGCCTCCTTGGAAATCTCACCAATAACTTTCCTTACTGCTCAAACAGTCTTGATGGACCTTGGACAGTTTCTACTATTTTGTCATATCTCTTCCCACCAACATGGTAATATCTTGGATCTTTAAAATGAGTATTATAAATATCCAGTTCAACTTTTAATAGAATTTACTGGACAATGCACAGGAATATAGTGTGTTGCTGAAGGGGGCATTACAGAGTTACTATGCAAGACCTTAACCAAGATCCCCTAATTTCTGGTCTCCAGTGTAAAGTTTCTACCTTGACTATAAAAGGGCTTGAGTATTAGTAGGACTCATGGATTTTTAGTTAAATGTCTATGCTAGAGGGAGAAAAGATGGCTTAGGGATGATTGAGGTGGGAAGATGAGGAGAACAGTATGCCTGTGGTTTCTCAGCTTTATCCCATTAAGTAGGCTCCAATATCATGGAGAGAGGAATGCTGGTTGTAGCTGAAGAGATGTTTTTTGGGAAATCTAGGGAAATGGAAAAAAAGGCATTGCTCGGGTTGCAACTGTAAGGGCTCCAGTATATCAGTAGCAATGCCCAAAGCAGTAAATAGCACATATGACAGGACATTGTAGTGCTTGACTTGAGACACCAGACTGCTGGAGGCACTCTGTAGATACCTGGCTGTAGATGAGAGACATCTGTGAAACTGAGGGCAGGTCAGAAGCTAGTGAATTTTAGGAGAAGTTGCATGGGATTGAAAGCTAGTCAGCATATGTGACGCACCACATGAGGTTTTCAAGGACTATTCGATGGGAACTTTGCAAAGGGTCAAAGGTTCTGTGTAAGCAAATTGGGATGATGGTAACTACAGTTTCAAATTATTGTTAATGTGACTTTATTTGTAACTACCAGTTGTGCAAATTCATATTGTATCATCATTTGACCCCCATTTTCCTACTTGTGTATTTATTCTGCTAACTTTTAGTCTCAGATCAACCTAATAACCCTCTTTCTCTACCCCTTTTATGATCATTGAAGGCTCTAATTCAGTTTGTGCTGCAATAACAGAATACCACAGACTGGGTAATTTATAATGGACAGAGATTTATTGGTTCACAGTTCTGGGGGCTGGGAAGTCCAATATCAAGTTGCCAGCAACTTACAAAGGCCTTCTTGCTGCATCTTAACATGGTGGAAGGCATCACATGACAAAAGGACAAAGAAAAGGTGACAGAGAGTGAGCAAAAGGAGGGTGAGCTCACTACTGTGATAATGAATCCACTCCCATGAACCCTTTCCCCAGATAACTGCATTAGTCCATTCATGAGGGTGGAGCCCTCATGACCCAAACACCTTTTAAAATTTCACCTCTCAATACCATCATGATAATTAAATTTCAGTATGAGTTTTGGAGGGGACGCACATTCAGATTATAGCAAGAACTGCTGGAGAAAAATGTCAGAGAGGCCTAATCTTTTATATTTGGTAGCATTTCTTTATTCCTATTATTCTCATATTAACCTCCTCAGGTTCCTTGGTTGCCTTAGAAAAGAGATTTGATCTTGCCATGTATCCACCATTTTCCTCCTTATGTTCTGTTAGTGACCTTGTTTATAGTCCTCTGTAGTGATTAAGAATAGAAATCTCTTTTCCTCATCTGTTACATAATATTTATGGAGTTTTGACAGGATATTAGTGGACAAAGAGTGTCATATGGAATGGGTAACAGGAAGTTGATACAGAAACAAAATCCTTGCAGTCACAGAGGAATAGGTCATTTACTTGTATATGATCATTGTCAATCAATTATTGTCCAGTTGGAACTGACTCAGTTTAAGAGTTTATTTTTTGTTTTTGTTTTCCTTTTGACAGATTGTATCCACAATTTTAATCTTTGTTTTTCAGAAAAAAAATGCTTTATCTTATTGAACCTCAGACAAAACCTGTTCCTCATAATCAACTAAACTTTGAAAATTGCCCTGTGGTATAAATAGGGCAGGAATTATTATTATCCATTTTACAAAGCATAAAGATGAGAGTGAAAATGTTGAATAGACTTGCCATAGGGTTTACAACTAGTCACAGGCAGACATGTCCTTGATTTTAAGTTGTATCTTTTCATGTTTTTATGAACTTGGAACATGCCTTAAAGTTTACATCTATACAATCATTTTTCCCAATAAGCTGTTATTAAATCAATGATTTGTATTATAATCTAATAGGGTAAATATAGAAATCATCAGGTGACTCTGGGGATGGGGAGGTAGATTGGTCTAGGCTTTGAAATGCTGAAAATATGCAGTTCTTCAAGTCTCTTTGTTTATAATCTGGGTGGGGAGAATGATAGGCTCAAAGCCAGTTCCAGAAGGGAAATAGTAATACATATTATAAGAGCAAATGAAGTGAAACGTATAGAAAAGAGTTGAGCAGAAGGGAAATGGTGAGTGCAAAGACCAGACGAAGAACCAAACAAGTACCGGATAATCCATTGAGAAATAAATATATATATGAAGTGACAAGAAGGGATAGTGATGCGGAGAGGCACCCCACACTCTCTCTCCTGCTCCTGCTTTCACCATGTGATATGCCTCCTCCCCCTTCACCCAACCTTATGACTGTAAGCTTCCTGAGACCTCCCTGAAGCCAAACAAATGTCAGCATCATGCTTCCCATATAGCATGCAGAACCATGAGCCAATTCAACCTCTTTTCTTCATAAATTGCCCGGACTCAGGTATTTCTTTATAGCAATGCAAGAACAGCCTAATTCAGCAAGAAAGTCTGACATTGTTTGATTTGTCTGACTCCAGATGGCATGGAAGCTTATGTCGAAGTAGACAGCTGCCCAGAGGAACCCCAACTACGAATGAAAAATAATGAAGAAGAAGAAGACTATGATAATGATTTTGCTGATTCTGAAATGGACGTGGTCAGATTTGATGATGACAACTCTCCTTCCTTTATCCAAATTCGCTCAGTTGCCAAGAAGCATCCTAAAACTTGGGTACATTACATTGCTGCTGAAGAGGAGGACTGGGACTATGCTCCCTCAGTCCTTGCCCCCAGTGACAGGTAAACACTCTTTGACTGTTGGTACTCTCTCTTCCCCATACTCAAAAAGTTCTCACCAGTTATTCAAACCAACAAATCGTTAAGTCATGTTTAAGGTTAGGTACAGGTGTGGAATCAAATGACAAGGTATTAACATTTGGAGACTGACATAGCTGAGCATCAGAAAAGCTTCTATTTTTCTCACTCCTTGCCTTGATTGGATCATATAAGCTGTTTTAGAGTTGGATTTGAGCTGAGCCTACCTAGAATTTTTCTTCCCAAACTCATCTTTTTTTCTCTTATTCAGAAGTTATAAAAGTCAATATTTGAACAATGGCCCTCAGCGGATTGGTAGGAGGTACAAAAAAGTTCGATTTATGGCATACACAGATGAAACCTTTAAGACTCGTGAACCTATTCAGTATGAATCAGGAATCTTGGGACCTTTACTTTATGGGGAAGTTGGAGACACACTGTTGGTAAGTTGAGGAGAAGATTTAAGGTCAGGTAAGAAAAAAAAGTCTGGAGAGTTTTGAGTTTCTAAAATACTTTATAATTCAGCCACGTCTCAAGTGGACATGATCTTTTAAAAACTATAAATGTTACACAAATAATTGCTGATTGTATATTTTTTAAATATGAGTATATAGAAAAAATTTAATGTCACTCATTAAACTCAACACTCCTTTGAAATACTGCATAGACTTTGACACATATCCTTCCAGATCTTTCTCCATTAATCATATAGAATCAGAGTCAGCAGACAGTGGCCTATAAGCCAAATTTGGCTTGTGGCCTGCTTTTGAATAGTCCGTGAGCTTAGATGAGATTTCACATTTTTTAAATATTGCAAAGAAAAGAATGCAGGGCAGGAGGAAGGGGAGGAAGAAGGCAGAAGAGGAAGAGAATATGTGACAGAGACTAGACAGCGCTCACAAATTTTAGAGTATTTACTATCCAGCCTTTTCCAAAAAGTGCTTGCCCCAATCTACGATATTAAGAATGACTATGGTGTAAGCAACAGAATACTCAATGGACAGTGGTTTAAATAAATAAGGGTTTATTTTCTTCACAAGAACTTTAAAGATATTGGTTGCATCAATTCAACTGCTCGAGAATGTCATGGACACTGGTTTTTAGATGTGGAGTTTTGTTAGACACTGCCAAACTGATTTTCAGCAATTTTATACCAATTTTTATCCCCTACCGTAAGTATATGACTGCCCTTTTCCCCACACCATTGCCAACAACATATATTATAAACCTTCAGAAAATTTTCCAATTTGATGAGCTAAATATTTATATGTTGTCTTCATTTGCATTTCCCTGGTTAGTAGTCAAATTGTGTATTGTTTCATGGTTGTTTGCTATTTATATAACTCCCTCTGTGAATTGCCTGCTACTAAATTTTGTCCAATTTTCTATTTGGGTAGTCATCTTTTGCTCATGTATTTGTAAAAGGCCTTTATATATTATGGATATTGACACATTGTTATTTATCTTCCAAATGTTTTCCTCACATTGTCACTTGTACTTTAATTCCTTTATGGTATTTTTTTGTCCTTCAAAAATTTTTGATCTTTATATATAGTCAAAATCTTCTATCCTTTATCAGTCTTTTCATTTATGTGTCTCTGGGTCTTTTTCACTTCTGTTTTCTGCCTGAAAATGTCTTTGCCATCCCCAAGAAATTACAAAAATAGTATATATTATATTCTCTTATTTGTATAGCTTTATTTTTATAGTGAGCAATCTAATTGCCCTGGAAGTTACTTTTGGATGTAGTGCATAATTCAAATAGAAATTTTCCCAAAATGGCAGCTAACTGACACAACCAATTCTTTTTTCATTAATTTGAAAATGTCTTCTTTATCATATACTAAATTGCTAAAATCTGGCATCTTGAATTCTTAACTAATCTGTTACCACACTGTTTTAATGACTGCAACTTTGTGATATGTTTGATAACTATATGACATCTTCCTTCATTGTACTTCTTCAAAATTTTTATTAACTATTCTTGTACAGTTTTTCTTCATAAATTTTGTTTATCTATTTTATCTTTTTTCATTTCTTGAAGATTGTATAATTTTATTTTTTATTCATTAATTTCTAAAATGCATAATGACATAATTTTACATGTTTATAGGGTACCTTTTATGTATTTTTAGTTACTTTTACTGGCTAGTTCAAAAATAGGTAAACAAGAGCATACAATAACAAGTAAATTTTCTTCCCTTTCAGACTTCCAAACCCATAGTGTGACAGACAGTCATTGCTGTGGGTTTGTATATTCCCCTCCAGAAATAGTGTATACATGTACAAACATGTGTGTGTGTGTGCACACACACACGTGTGTGTATTTCACACAAAAACAGGAGCAGTGTAAACTTGGTCTCTACCTTGATTTTCAAAAAATAACAATATATTTTGAATTGGCTGGGTGTGGTGGTGCATGCCTGTAGTCCCAGCTTCTTGGGAGGCTGAGGGAGGATAATCGCTTGAATCCGGGAGGTGGAGGTTGCAGTGAGCTGAGATCCCACCACTGCACTCCACTCTAGGTGACAGAGCAAGACTCTGTCTCAAAACAAAAAGTAACAGTATATTTTGGATATCAACATATATAGATCTACCTCATCTTTGACTTATTCAGGTTATGCTCTGGACACCTTGCTGAATCCTACACTTAATATTAACTCAAAATGGATAAAAGATAAAATGTAAGAGGTAAAACTACAAAATTACAGGAAAATATAGGAATAAATCTTGGTGATATTGAATTAGACAATGGTTTATTGGATATAACACCAAAACCAAGAAGCAACAAAAGTAAACATAGATAATTTTACTTCATCATACTTAAAAACTTTTGTGCTTCAAAGGACACCCAGAAAATGAAAAGACAATTCATAGAACTGGAAAAAATGCTTGCATATTTTATATCTGATAAGGATTTGGTGTCCAAAATATATATATATATAAAGGACCCTTTCAACTCAGTAATAAATATGCAGATCACTGAAAACCATTCAAAAGTTTACCAAATGGTGAATAGATAAATAAAATGTGGTATATCCATATAACTGGAATTTTATTCAGCAATTAAAAGAAAGGAACTAATTATTTGTGATAAATATAGACGAAATTCAAAACGTAAGTTAAAGAAGTCAGACAAAAAGACTTACATATGGCATGATTTAACTTATATAAAATATACAGAAAAGGCCAATTTATACAGCAGAAGTCTTTTTAGTGATTGTCAGGGTCTGGGAGTGGAAGCAGGGATTGCCTGCAACGCAGTATGGAGAATCTTTCTGGGGTGATAGAAATATTCTAATTCTGGATTGTGGCAATGATTGCACAACTCCATACATTTACTAAAAATCATTTAATTTGGAGATCCAAGGTGGCTGAATAGGAACAGCTCTGGAGTGCAGTTCCCGGAGAGAACAATGCAGAGGGTGAGTGATCACCACATTTCCAAATGAGTTATTACTGCCTACAGACCAGGAGATTCTCGGGCTGAAAAGTGCCATGAGTTTCTAGCATGGCTGTCTCAGCTGGTGCAGCGGGTCTCCACACAAAAACACACAAATCTGGGTGGCCATTTCAATGGGTGCCTAGAATGTCTGGGAGACAGAGCATCCCATTCAACTGAAAAAAGGGGGCTGAAACAGGGAGCCAGGTGATCTAGCTCAGCGGATCCCACCCCAACAATGACCAGCAATCTGAAACGCTCTGGATTGAGAGTTTCACAGCAAGTACAGCTGGACCCAGGATGGTCCAACACGGTAGGGGGACGGGTGTCAGCCATTACTAAGGCAGTACACCATTACCAAGGCAGTCCGCCATTACTGAGGCAGACCGCCATTACCAAGGCAGTTCTAACTGTACCTCTGTAAACAAAACTGCAAGGAAGTTCACACAGCAGCTGAGCAGAGCCCATGGCAGCTCAGCAATGCCTCTGCTGGCAGACTGTGACTAGGCTACCTCCTTTCTGAGCAGAGCATCTGTGAAAAAAGGCAGCAGCATGTCAGAAACTTTATAAAAATAAAGCCCCACATTCCCAGGACAGAGCACCTAGGAAAAGAGGCAGTTATGAGTTCTGCTGGAGCAGACTTAAACGTACCTACCCAGCAGCTCTGAATGGACCAATGGAGCTCCCAGCACAGCACTTGAGCTCCTATAAGAGACAGACTGTCTCCTCAAGCAGCTCCCCAACCCCCATATATCCAAAGAGACACCTCATAAAGGAGAGCTCAGGCTGACATCTGGAGGGTATCCTTCTGGGACAAAAATAACAGAAGAAGAAACTGGCAGCAACCCTTACTGTTCTGCAGCTACCCCATGGTTGATTCCCAGGCAAGCAGGGTCTGGAGTGGACTTCCAGCAGTCCTACAGCAGAGGGGCCTAACTGTTAGAAGGAAAACTAAAAAACCGAAAAAAATAATCTCAACATTAACAAATAGAACATCTACTCAGAGACCCCATCTGAAAGTCACCAGCTACAAAGACCACAGGTAGATAAATCTACGAAGATGGGAAGAAATCAGTGCAAAAAGGATGAAAACACCCAAAACCAGAATTCCTCTCCCCCCAGGGGATCACAACTCCTCACCAGCAAGAGAACGAAGCTGGATGGAGAATGAGTCTGATGAATTGATAGAAACAGGCTTCAGAAGGTGGGTAATAACAAATTTCTCTGCGCTAAAAGAACATGTTCTAACCCAATGCAAAGAAACTAAGAACCTTGAAAAAAGGTTAGTTGAAATGCTAACTAGACTAAACAGCTTAGAGAAGAATATAAGATTGATGGAGCTGAAAAACAAAACATGAGAACTTCGCAAAGCATACACAAGTTTCGATAGTTGAATTGACCAAGCAGAAGAAAGGATATCAGAGATTGAAGATAAACTTAATGAAACAAAATGATAATGCAAGATTAGAGAATAAAGAGTGAAAAGAAATGAACAAAGCCTCCAAGAAATATGGGATTATGTGAAAAGACCTAATCTGTGTTTGATAGGTGTATCTGACTGTGACAAAGAGAATGAATCCAAGCTGGAAAACACTCTTCAGAATATTATCCAGGAGAACTTCCCCAACCTAGTAAGGCAGGCCAATATTCAAGTACAGGAAATACACAGAACACCACAAAGATATTCCTCAAGAAGAGCAACCCCAAGGCACATAATCATCAGATTCACCAGGGTCGAATTGAAGGAAAAAATGCTAAGCAGCCAGAGAGAAAGGTTGGGTTACCCACAAAGGGAAGCCCATCAGACTCACAGCAGATCTCTCAGCAGAAACCCTACAAGCCAGAAGAGAGTAGGGGCCAATATTCAACATCCTTAAAGAAAAGAACTTTCAACCCAGAATTGCATATCCAGCTAAACTAAGCTTCATAAGTGAAGGAAAAATAAAATCCTTTGTGAACAAGCAAGTACTCAGAAACTTTGTCACCACCAGGCCTGCTTTA